TACCTGTATATGCTCACTGCAATAATAGTCCGAATAACACGTTTGGCAATGTTCCAAATTAATCTGTCTATGACAAATAGAGCATGATTTTGCAAAAAGAATCATTTGTTCTTCATATAGCTTTAGCTTACGTGGAATCCATTTTTTAATTGAGCTTAGAAATTGTTGTCTTAACTGAATCCATTTAAATAAACTTAAAGCACAGTCTCGGCGTATTTTATTCTCTCGTAAAACTCGGATTATATATTCACAAATCTGCATATGTTGTGGACGATGCATCAGGCTGTGTTCAGGAGTGCAATAAGAGATCATATCGCACAGATTACATGATATAAAAGATCCATTGTTTACTTTCTTGCAGACGTGGCAAATGTTTTCGTGAAAGAAGCTATTATAATTATTAATATTAATATGTGGACCGAATTCGTTCACATCGATTACTTTAGAAAAATTACTCATGGTGGGATATTTTGTTCGACGTATGATATCAATTTAGAAATGAAGTGTGTTGCTTCTTGTAATAGAAATAATATAGTTGTCTGTCCACAACAGATTTATAACTGAGATGTTCACAATTCAGATCTATAGCAGACTACTGTAGAGGCGACATTAAGAAGTCCTCTGGTTCGCTAGTTAATATTAACAAACTGATTTGGGTATTTGAAATTGTAACGAAATACGAATAACCGTTATTGAATAGAATGTTGCGCGCATTGTACTAGGCGCGCATGGAAACCTTATAAATTTTTATTAATTGTAACTTGTGTATTATGGAAAAAAAAAATATATAATACCGTAAAAATTGATAAGTATATGTAATTAATAAATTACAGTTCTAAACTAGCTTAATATGGATATGGATATAGATACATTTTATATAGGCCAAATGCATGACGCCCCACAATAGAACATAAAATTTTATAATCTCATTCTCGAAATTAATGCGAACAAAAAATCCTAATAACCAGTAATATCGTAATATCGTAAAGTATATTTCTTTTATCGCTATTTCCAATGTTCTGTATATTTTTGTGGGTATATAATTTCAGTTACGATTCCGATCAATCATAATCCACTAGAAATTAACTATTAAATGTAATTCTTTTATATATTTAACTTGTTAATTAGTTGATAAAGACTAGACCTTTTAAACCAACATTTTCTTTTTGTAACAACTCGCATGGTACTTGTGCCTTAACTTTTGCAATATTTCTGCATCCGAAGAAAATCTAACATATGTTATTAAAAAATTAGGTAATGGTTTTGCGATATTGCAGATATTATAATATTTCAACTTTCTTAAATATTATATTCTTAAGTTTCTCTAGTAATTACGTAAATTATATACACAGAAGGTAGACCAATGATTATGAAGGAAGACATGTATCAAGGCAATTCTTATGTACATATTGTTCGAATAATTTATTTATATTTACTAAGAGGTATATATATGCGCCGTATTTTCAAAAACCATATATTTAAACTGTTTCTTCCATAGTAAAATTACATTAAAATGCCATTTTTACTGCTTTCTATTGAGGTAGAGTTTTCATTTATTATTATCAGTACTCTTCAAGTAAAAACAGTAACAAGTACAATGTCTACAGATGAACATAAAACATTTTACAACAGACATGTTCTGTTCTGCTTTTGTTACTGAATGTGTGTACCTTTACGGAAAAAAATCATAAGGAAAAACTATCTATTTATTTATGACGCTACAGTCTTCAAAAAGACCTTGGCCTCAGAGAAGCTTCTTCACCACTCCAGCCCTCGCTCTCCAATTGCGCATTCTTAGTTTATTGAAAATCAAACGAACTTAACCCGTAAGTGAAGTTCGATCGAAATTATATGAAGAGCCTTGTTCGAGGAGATTACAATATGTAATTTTTTAGAGCGCAGGTAACTCTCGAGTTTTCTTGTAAGTTGTGTGTAAACATCTGTGTTCTAGGAATATTGTGAAAATACGTATTTATTCTATCACAACTGTCGGGACATAGAACAAAAGAAACGATTAAGCGCAAATGTAACTAAATACATACGTATGAAAAGAAAAAGTACACTATAAACGGAAAAAGAAATTTGTAGGAAGTAAAAAAACTTAACTCTATTTAACTACCGCCCTGGCGAAAGAAAAATTTTGGGATATCGGGCGCTTATAAAATTTAGCAAAAATTGTAGAGCCAGCTGATCAACCCGCAGCTTTCCGAATCGATTCAAAGTCGAGACTACTAGCGAAAGCTGCAGAGAATGACGCATGTCGCGTCGAATGAGACGAGAAAACAGAAACATCAATATCGCATTTTTGTAACACTGAACGGATCCATCGACTGATTGTTTGAGCAAATACTTTCTTATGGAGCTTTCATATCGCAAGGTACAAACTTCGATTGTTTCCCCGTAACCTAGACGTTATCAGTAAATATTGGATCACAGTATTTGCAATTAAATTAAAGATAGCATGTACTGTTAAAAAATTGTATGATCGCGTTGCAACGCTCATAAATTTTAACGTTCTGTATTTATTACGCAAATAAAATGTGCAAGAATATATATATTAGATTTTAACACGTTTCAAGACAATTTTTAATAATCCAAACATGATACTTTTACAGTAATATTTGCATCATATTTTTAAGCTGTTATTTTCCTACTCAAATTAAACGTACAATTTTAAGAAGTCTCTATGTACTTAATACATTTGTTTATTATTATTAGTGACTATTAAAAAACATGGCAAATACAGTGAAAAGTGCCTTTTATTAAAAATATTCATAATTTGTTTGTACAACCAACACATATTTTATATTATATACAGTAATGTTATCAACGTAAAATCTTATACAAATGCTCTAAATCGTTTAGTATGTCCTTCATGAAATAAATGTGTTACGATAGACAGTTACATAATCATTACGAAAATATACAGAACCAGTCTCCAAATCTCTTCATGACCTCCAAGATCTAAAAGGATTTTGAGTATTATGGAGAGGTTGTATATGCGAACCTAAAATTTTTTTTGAAATAGACACGTTCTGCTCTGCTTTTTCTGCCGACGTGGTAGTTAAAATCAACGGACAGTGTCTAATCCGTGATAAAATATATGCTCCACTCATTACTTAAATCTGCTTGAAATTCTGTAACTACATCTGGATGTTTAAAGGACGGACCGGCTACATACATATGGTAAAATGTATTATAAATTTCAACATAAAGCATTGCACTTCTGTTCTTGCAGAAATAACAAACTTCCATGTCATAATAATCCTGCTCAAAATTTGGTCCTACCATGTACAATTGTTAAATCGATTGTGTAAAGTATGAGATGTAAAAATATTTCCCAAGCATTTAAATATTCCTTTTCTAAGACATTTAGTGCTACCACATGAATAACGTATTTAAGCTATTCTGATGCTTCGTACGGAAGGAGGCGCATATGTTGTAATAAATGTATTCATGTCATTAATAAGTTCTTTTCGAAGTTGAGTGAATTTTAATACAGTGAATTTGCATTTAACAGCCGCGATATTAATGTTGATATACAATAAAACTGTTGACATCTTGACTCATGCAAACCTTGAAATATCTGTATGTGCTCACTGTAATAGTCCGAATAACACGTTTTGCAATGTTCCAAATTAATCTGTCTATGAAGACAAAAAGAACATCATTTGTCAAATAGAACATCATTTTGCAAAAAGAATCATCTGTTCTTCATACAGCTTTAATTTACGTGGAATCCATTTTTTAATTGTGCTTAGAAATTGTTGTCTT